TGTGTAGTGCTTGTATGTACGTGTCTGTGTGTGTACTGCTTGTATGTACGTGTTTCTGTGTGTACTGCTTGTATGTACGTGTTTCTGTGTGTACTGCTTGTGTGTACGTGTCTCTGTGTGTACTGCTTGTAAGTACGTGTGTTTCTGTGTAGTGCTTGTATGTACGTGTCTGTGTGTGTACTGCTTGTATGTACGTGTTTCTGTGTGTACTGCTTGTATGTACGTGTCTCTGTGTGTACTGCTTGTATGTACGTGTTTCTGTGAGTACTCCTTGCATGTACGTGTGGCTGTGTGTACTGCTTGTATGTACGTGTGTTTATGTGTAGTGCTTGTATGTACGTGTCTGTGTGTGTACTGCTTGTATGTACGTGTTTCTGTGTGTACTGCTTGTATGTACGTGTCTCTGTGTGTACTGCTTGTATGTACGTGTTTCTGTGAGTACTGCTTGCATGTACGTGTGTCTGTGTGTACTGCTTGTATGTACGTGTCTCTGTGTGTACTGCTTGTGTGTACGTGTTTCTGTGTGTACTGCTTGTGTGTACGTGTCTCTGTGTGTACTGCTTGCATGTACGTGTGTCTGTGAGTACTGCTTGTATGTACGTGTCTCTTTGTGTACTGCTTGTATGTACGTGTCTCTGTGTGTACTGCTTGTATGTACGTGTGTCTGTGTGTAGTGCTTGTATGTACGTGTTTCTGTGTGTACTGCTTGTATGTACGTGTTTCTGTGTGTACTGCTTGTTTGTACGTGCTTCTGTGTGTACTGCTTGTATGTACGTGTTTCTGTGTTTTCTGATTGTATGTATGTGTGTCTGTGTGTACTGCTTGTGTGTAGGTGTCTCTGTGTTTACTGCTTGTAAGTACGTGTGTCTGTGTGTTGTGTTTGTATGTACGTGTTTCTGTGTGTACTGCTTGTTTGTACGTGTTTCTGTGTGTACTGCTTGTGTGTACGTGTCTCTGTGTGTACCGCTTGTATGTACGTGTGTCTCTGTGTAGTGCTTGTATGTACGTGTCTGTGTGTGTACTGCTTGTATGTACGTGTTTCTGTGTGTACTGCTTGTATGTACGTGTCTCTGTGTGTACTGTTTGTATGTACGTGTTTCTGTGAGTACTGCTTGCATGTACGTGTGTCTGTGTGTACTGCTTGTATGTACGTATCTCTGTGGGTACTGCTTGTATGTACGTGTTTCTGTGTGTACTGCTTGTGTGTTCGTGTCTCTGTGTGTACTGCTTGTATGTACGTGTTTCTGTGTGTACTGCTTGTATGTACGTGTCTCTGTGTGTACTGCTTGTGTGTACGTGTCTCTGTGTGTATTGCTTGTATGTACGTGTGTCTCTGTGTAGTGCTTGTATGTACGTGAACATGATGGGTACTTACACAGGGGTGGTTACACAGAATACTGACTGTAATGCTCTGTGTGGCAGCAGTTGGAGAACATGATGGGTACTTACACAGGGGTTGTTACACAAGATACTGACTTTGTTGCTCTGTGTGGCAGCAGTTGGGGAACATGATGGGTACTTACACAGGGGTGGTTACACAAGATACTGACTGTAATGCTCTGTGTGTGGCAGCAGTTGGAGAACATGACGGGTACTTACACAGGGGTGGTTACACAAGATACTGACTGTAATGCTCTGTGTGGCAGCAGTTGAAGAACATTATGGGTACTTACACAGGGGTGGTTACACACGATACTGACCGTAATGCTCTGTGTGGCAGCAGTTGGAGAACATGATGGGTACTTACACAGGGGTGGTTACACAAGATACTGTCTGTAATTCTCTTTGTGGCAGTAGTTGGAGAACATGATGGGTACTTACACAGGGGTGGTTACACAAGATACTGTCTGTAATTCTCTTTGTGGCAGTAGTTGGAGAACATGATGGGTACTTTCACAGGGGTGGTTACACAAGATATTGACTGTAATGCTCTGTGTGGCAGCAGTTGGAGAACATGATGGGTACTTACACAGGGGTGGTTACACAAGATACTGACTGTAATGCTCTCTGTGTGGCAGCAGTTGGACAACATGATGGGTACTTACACAGGGGTGGTTACACAGAATACTGACAGTAATGCACTGTGTGGCAGTAGTTGGAGAACATGATGGGTACTTACACAGGGGTGGTTACACAAGATACTGACTGTAATGCTCTGGGTGTCAGCAGTTGGAGAACATGATGGGTACTTACACAGGGGTGGTTACACAGAATACTGACTGTAATGCTCTGTGTGGCAGCAGTTGGAGAACATGATGGGTACTTACACAGGGCTGGTTACACAAGATACTGACTGTAATGCTCTGTGTGGCAGCAGTTGGGGAACATGATGGGTACTTACACAGGGGTGGTTACACAGAATACTGACTGTAATGCTCTGTGTGGCAGCAGTTGGAGAACATGATGGGTACTTACACAGGGGTTGTTACACAAGATACTGACTTTGTTGCTCTGTGTGGCAGCAGTTGGGGAACATGATGGGTACTTACACAGGGGTGGTTACACAAGATACTGACTGTAATGCTCTCTGTGTGGCAGCAGTTGGACAACATGATGGGTACTTACACAGGGGTGGTTACACAGAATACTGACAGTAATGCACTGTGTGGCAGTAGTTGGAGAACATGATGGGTACTTACACAGGGGTGGTTACACAAGATACTGACTGTAATGCTCTGTGTGGCAGCAGTTGGAGAACATGATGGGTACTTACACAGGGGTGGTTACACACGATACTGACCGTAATGCTCTGGGTGTCAGCAGTTGGAGAACATGATGGGTACTTACACAGGGGTGGTTACACAGAATACTGACTGTAATGCTCTGTGTGGCAGCAGTTGGAGAACATGATGGGTACTTACACAGGGCTGGTTACACAAGATACTGACTGTAATGCTCTGTGTGGCAGCAGTTGGGGAACATGATGGGTACTTACACAGGGGTGGTTACACAGAATACTGACTGTAATGCTCTGTGTGGCAGCAGTTGGAGAACATAATGGGTATTTACACAGGGGTGGTTACACAAGAAACTGACTGTGATGTTCTGTGTTGCAGCAGTTGGAGAACCTGATGGGTACTTACGCAGGGGTGGTTACACACGATACTGACTGTAGTGCTCTCTGTGTGGCAGCAGTTTGGGAACATGACGGGTACTTACACAGGGGTGGTTACACAAGATACTGACTTTAATGCTCTGTGTGTGGCAGCAGTTGGAGAACATGATGGGTACTTACACAGGGGTGGTTACACAGGAAACTGACTGTAATGTTCTGTGTGGCAGCAGTTGGAGAACCTGATGGGTACTTACACAGGGGTAGTTACACACGATACTGACTGTACTGCTCTGGTGTTACTGTGGATATATTAGGGGAGCAGTGACCATCATTCCGACAGACTGGTACCTTTAGACATCTCCGTGGTATGGTGTTACTGTGAGAAGATTAGGGGAGCAGTGACCATCATTCCGACTGACTGGTACCTTCAGATATCTCCATGGGATGGTGTTACTGTGAGAAGATTAGGGGAGCAGTGACCATCATTCCGTCTGATTGGTACCTTTAGACATCTCCATGAATGGTGTTACTGTGAGAAGATTAGGGGAGCAGTGACCATCATTCAATCTGACTGGTACATCTCCACAGTATAGTGCTACTGTCAACACTGGGAGGAGTGGCTGTCATTTTGACATATTTGAGTTTCTCATTTGCGTTGATTGAATTAGAAATCATGTAACAAATATCAAAATCTGACAAAATGAAGTAAGTAGCTGACGACTTGATTGATAAGTCAGGAAATTCAAATGTTTCATCGATGTTCATTGATTGGAATCTGTTTATTGAATACGGGGAAAACATGAAAATCCCTAAACAGCAAAAGGACGCCGACTTCACGATTATTTCACTTAGATAGTGAAGTTCATGGACGTGTGTGGGGGTAGTTGAACTAATCTAGACTGGGTGTATACTGCTAGTATACTGTGATCCCATGCTACAGATTAACACGGAAACCCCACCATGTGGTTGCTTTACATGTACAATCGGAGCCGACCAGTCTTGTTTTTTCCACCGAAGGCCGTGTAACAAAAAGTACCATCATTTTACGTCTTTTGGTTTAATTCGGTCAGGCATTCAAACCACCGACATTCCACTCTCAGGGCAGACTCTCTTTCCACTACACCACGGAGGCGGTCTGAATAAGGGTAGGGGACGGTATCGGTTACATCTTTCTTCTTGACTATACAATCCATTGATCGATATTGTGAGTACGATGGGGTAAGATGAGTTCTCAAACAAACCGAACCGAACCTGACTAAACAATCCATGATGTCCCAATCTCTTGGTCCAACTGACTCTCTATTTGATTTATTTTCTTTGGTATTTGCTTTGGTTGTTGGTACATTTAGTGCGGTAAAGTAAGCATTACCTTTAAAAGAGGGAGTGACTGAGTGAGTTTGGTTCAACGCCGCTTTTAACAGTATTACAATTATATCACGGGGCCGAACCGGGATTCGAACCCACAATCATAGGTTTTTTGGCGTGTCCAATGGACGCAACTCTGCACAACGAATCGCGGCGCCCTAGGCGACTGGGCCCCCCGTGCCCCCACCTTGAAAAGAGGGAGTTGGTGGTAGCACTGCTTTCAACAGTATTTTGGGTGTCAGCTTAATTGGGGGGGGGGGGGGGGGGGGGACCCGAAATGATGCTGGTTTTAGACGGTTACCATTTTGGTGAGGCCCAAGAGTACAGGTGCTGTAGTGTCAAACTCCTAACAAAACAGTGATCGATATGGTGATCAACGCTGTCTGGGTACGATAAACCACCGACGGCAACTCCCGACAGTGTTCTGGTACCTACAATGTTGCAGCCAAGAAGGTTTGAAGCTCTGTGTATTTTGCATCAGATTAGGTTTCTCACATACTTGTAGCGAGAGTGGACCAATATGGCTATTATATGGCTAAAGTATGTGACTCAGCTGATTGTCAACGTATCGCGATGGCGATCAGTTTGGACAAATAGGAACATCACACTTTTCCCAGCGTGCAGCTGGATTCGTAGTGTAACACCACAAGAATCCGTCACGTGCTGGGTCACGGCAGTAGTTAGCAGATCCTGTTACAGTTTGGGGGGTGTAAAAGCCTGGAACAGCGAACTTGGCGTCTTTGGTTTTGTCGTGAGAGTGTGGTTCCTGAGCATCCCACCGCTGGCAGGTCTTCCCGGATCTGGTTGTTGACTGAGTGCCAGTGTATAACACTCTTGGATCAGATACCACCCCACAGCCGGATACTGTCAAAGACAACAGAAATACATTGATACATAAAGTGATGCCAATACTCACATGTCTTCTCTGGTGCATTGGTCTTCTACGGTTACACAGACAAATACCACCAAGAGAAAGAATAGCCAAATATGCAACTGTTCACTGAATGGGCAGTAGTAGTATTCGTAGTGGTAGTAGTAGAACACAAGTAGTAGAAGTGGTAGTGGTAGCAGCAGTATCAGTATCAGTAGTAGTAGTCGTAGTATCAGTAGCCAAAGTGGTAGCAGCAGTAGTAGCAGCAGTAGTAGTAGTAGTAGTAGTAGTAGCAGCATAGTGGGCTAGAGTAGTAGTGTAGCAGAAGTAGTTGTTGTAATAGTAGCAGCAGTAGTAGCAGCAGTAGTAGTAGTAGTAGCAGTAGCAAAGGTAGAGTAGTGGAGTGGAGTGGAGTGGAGCAGTAGTATTTGTTTTAGCATTAGTCGTAGTAGCAGTAGTAGCAGCAGCAGCAGTAGTAGTAGTAGTAGTAGTAGTAGTAGTAGCAGCATAGTAGACTAGAGTAGTAGTGTAGCAGTAGTACTTGTTGGAATAGTAGTAAAGGTAGTAGTAGTAGTAGCAGTAGCAAAGGTAGAGTAGAGTAGATTAGAGTAGTGGTAGTAGTTGTAGTAGTAGAGTGGAGAGGAGTGGAGTGGAGTGGAGTGGAGTGGAGTGGAGTGGAGTGGAGAAGAGTGGAGTGGAGTGGAGTGGAGTGGAGTGGAGTGGAGTGGAGTGGAGTGTAGCAGTAGTAGTTGTTGTAGTATTAGTCGTAGTAGCAGTAGTAGCAGCAGTAGTAGTAGTAGTAGTAGTAGTGGTAGCAGCATAGTAGACTAGAGTAGTAGTGTAGCAGTAGTACTTGTTGGAATAGTAGTAAGAGTAGTAGTAGTAGTAACAGTAGCAGAGGTAGAGTAGAGTAGATAAGAGTAGTGGTAGTAGTTGTAGTAGTAGAGCGGAGAGGATTGGAGTGGGGTGGAATGGAGTGGAGTGGAATGGAGTGGAGTGGAGTGGAGTGGAGTGGAGTGGAGTGGAGTGGAGTTGAGTGGAGTTGAGTGGAGTGGAGTGGAGTGGAGTTGAATGGAGTGAAGTGGAGTGGAGTGGAGTCGAGTCGAGTGGAGAAGAATGGCGTGGAGTGGAGTGGAGTTGAGTAGTAGTAGTAGAGGGGAGTAGTAGTGTAGAGTGGAGTGGAGTGGAGCGGATTGGATTGGAGCGGAGTTGAATGGAGTAGTAGTGGGGTGGAGTGGAGTGGAGTGGAGCGGAGTGGAATGGAATGGAACGGAGTGGAGTGGAGTGGAGTGGAGTGGAGTGGAGTGGAGTGGAGTGGAGTGGAGTGGAGTGGAGTGGAGTGGAATGGAGTGGAGTGGAGTGGAGTGGAGCGGAGTTGAGCGTTGTGGGGTGGAGTGGAGTGGAGTGGAGTGGAGTGGAGTAGTAGCAGTTGTAGACGTTGTAGTAGTAGCTGCATAGTAGACTAGAGTAGTAGTGTAGCAGTAGTAGTTGTTGTGGTAGTAGTAGTAGTAGCAGGGGTAGTAGCAGCAGTAATAGTAGTAGTAGCAGTAGCAATTGTAGAGTAGAGTAGAGTAGAGTGGCGGTAGTAGTAGTAGTAGTAGTAGTAGTAGTAGTGTAGAGTAGAGTAGAGTAGAGTAGGGTAGGGTAGAGTAGAGTAGAGTAGAGTAGAGTAGAGTAGAGTAGAGTAGAGTAGAGTAGAGTAGAGTAAAGTTGAATAGAGTAGAGTAGAGTGGTGGTAGTAGTAGTAGTAGTAGTAGTAGTAGTAGTAGTAGTAGTAGTAGAGTAGAGTAGAGTAGGGTAGGGTAGACTGGAGTAGAATAGAGTAGAGAAGAGTAGAGTAGAGTAGACTAGACTAGACTAGAGTAGACTAGAGTAGAGTAGAGTAGAGTAGTGTAGAGTAGAGTAGAGTAGAGTGGTGGTAGTAGTAGTAGTAGTAGAGTAGAGTAGAGTAGAGTAGAGAAGAAAAGAGAAGAGTAGACTAGACTAGAGTAGAGTAGTAGTAGGCAATTTGCAATCATGATTAACGGGGAATAGTCATACTTCTAGCTTCATCAATGTTTCAGACATTTTCAGACAGACATTCAAGTAGGTTACATCCTTACTGTTGACACACTTCATGATAACCTTCGTCCAGGACCGGTCTTTCTGGCAGACGCTCATCACCGTGTCACGAGGACTGATGTTCAGCAAACCCTTCCTGCATGTGTAGTTTGCGATGGCAAGAAGACCTCTTGACTCGTAGACAACGTCTGTGCCTTCTATAGGAGTCGGCGAGCCACAATCTACACTCAGTTCAGACGTCAGATTGGCTGTAAAGTATATGTTCACATAAACATTACGACGATGCGGGTGGCTTTTCCCAGCGAGGAGCTGGTGAGATTCTCAATGTTTGGGTACAGTGAGTGCACGGGTCCTGCCCAATGCCCAAGCAGGATTACTTCACCAGTTTAGCTCACACACAGATCATTCCGATTTGCAGTTAGTGTGAATCCCTAGCTCATCAATCAGAATATCACATAAGGTCCCAAGGGTATTTAAGAGGATAGTAGATATTAGACAAGAGAAAAAAATAGAGTATATTAACAAACTTTCTGAGATGATTACAGCTTTGATTACACAACCGGACACACCGGAATTCGATCCCTCAAAATCATAGGATTCTGGCATCTCAAGGGAAGCAACTCTGCACAGCGAATTACGGTACCTAAGACGATTGGGTCCCCGGGGTATTTAAGAGGATAGTATGTATTAGATGAGAGAAAAATAGAGTAAATTACAAAAATAATTACCTATTTCTGTCTCCAGGTAACTGAGACGAATCTCTTTGTATTCATTGTCACGTAACAGCTTCACTGGAACAAAAGGGAATATATTACATGCGTGTATGATTGACTGGAACAAAAGGGAATATATTACATGCGTGTATGCTTCACTGGAACAAAAGGGAATATATTACATGCGTGTATGCTTCACTGGAACAAAAGGGAATATATTACATGCGTGTATGATTGACTGGAACAAAAGGGAATATGTTACATGCGTGTATGCTTCACTGGAACAAAAGGGAATATATTACATGCGTGTATGATTGACTGGAACAAAAGGGAATATATTACATGCGTGTATGCTTCACTGGAACAAAAGGGAATATATTACATGCGTGTATGATTGACTGGAACAAAAGGGAATATATTACATGCGTGTATGATTGACTGGAACAAAATGGAATATATAACATGCGTGTATGATTGACTGGAACAAAAGGGAATATATAACATGCGTGTATGATTGACTGGAACAAAACAAACAAACGCTAAAACAACTCTCATAATTTTAGAATATGTGGTGATACCAGGTGTTCGCAAAATGATGATCGTCTTGCAAATCGGTTGCAAACGTCACAAACACATGCAACAGCAAGTCAACTTTTCATCGGAACAATTACGGGAACATATTGTACAAACACAATAAAGAATCAGATAACTTTTTTTTCACTGAAACGTCAAATTTGGATATGTCTTCCAAATGCCTCAAAAACAATTTTCTAAGAACTTAATTGATCTTTGATAACCTAAAACTGATATCCATATTGATGACAATGACTATGGCGTGACAGTGTCATCAATTCGTTATTTATGTAGAGTACTAGTCACACATCAGGACAGATCAGATCATTTTCATGCCGATTCCAAACCATTTAGGGTAAACACTAAAGTTACACCAAGGATTTTCTGTCCGTCTCAAACTAATGTGCAATGGACATATACTAACGGACAAAAATAAGTGTGCTTCATTTGAAGAACAGCTTTATTCTAAAATGACATGGCGCATCTTACAATGCACATTCAAGAAGACATCTTCTCGACTTTATGATTCAAAATTTGCATGTGCATGTTCAAGCACGACGCACAATTTGGAAGTTTGGGTGTTGTTTGGAGCATGACACTCACACATGTGGTTTTTAATGTGAACAAAACACATTGATTGATTACTTATCAGCTGCACAAAAACACACACTTTTGCTTGACTGTAAATAAAGCTTACGGAACCAGTGCGGACGTCGTCGTTCGTAAGTCTAGTCTACTGACACACCATAATAATAATAATAATAGTAATAATAATAATATATGCATTTGTATAGCGCAGCATTCCCTGTGTATAAGTGCTCTGTGCACACCATGTCACAGCTGACCGTGCTTTGTTTTGAAATGGGAATGAACCACCGAATTTACGCTCTATCTACTACACCACTGTACGACGAGACAGTATGAGCGAGTGAGTGAGTTGAGTTTAACGCCCTTCGTTATTCGACGGGAATCGGGATTCGAACCCACAATCATAGATTTCTGGCGTGCCCAAGGGACGCAACTCTACACAGCGAATCGCGGCGCCTTAGACAACTGTGCCACCCGTGCCCCCTGGGCAGTATGAACGAATATAACATAATGCTATTTAAGAAAAGACCAGTTACCGACTTCCTTCTCGAGGTCATTTATACGGTTGTCCACAGCGTCCAGACATGTTTCTTTTCTTTCTGAAAGTAAAATTTGCGAAAGAGTAAATAAACATGATCCTTGGCGGTTACTGCCGCAGGGTATTCTGGAGGAGAATTAGTCACAGATGACTATGCTAACCCTATACAGAGGCAACTATATAGATTGCAACAATTAAGCCTGCACTCCGATATCACGTATAAAATATATACACAAGCCCCTAGATAACATGTCTTAAATATATACACGAACTCATAGATAACAGAGCCGATAACAGGCTCGCTGACTTGGTTAAAGCATGTCATCGTATCCCAATTGCGTGGATCGATGCTCATGCTATCAATCACTGGATTGTCTGGTCCAGCCCCGATTATTTACAGACCGCCGCTATATACCTCCTGGAATATTGCTGAGTGCGGCGTTAAACTGCAAACCGGCAAACAGTATCATAGGTGTATGTGTTAAACGTATACACCAACCCACGGATAACTTAAGTCGATTATATGCACAAGCTCATAGAAAACATTGTGGTGATCACATGATCTGTAGTAGAATGCATGCAACATATCAACAAAAACAATTCTTTCTTTTGGCCTAAAAGGACAGATATTGGTACCGTTATGACACCAGTATCTTGTGTGTCATTCCTGATCCAAAAGGAGGCCAATTCTAGGTGAAATATAGGAAATAATTATGGATTATTTGAGAAGTCCTTCGTGAGTTTCCCAATTTCCCTTTTGAGGTTATTAACAGATCGCTCTTAATGTTTTTAATGTCAAAATATTGTTTACCTGTTCAACAAAAATGTGTTTATTCTGTTTTTGTTTGTGTGTTGACAAATTATTGATTACTGAGAATGTGTTAGGACTATGTACATTTCAATTAGAACTAAATGATCACGCTGTTGCTGAATATGTCGAAACTGTTAATAAATGTTGGTTAACCAGTTGTCTCTATGTACCGCCGTTCGTTATGGAAGGGGTGACTGTTGTCTCTATGTACCGCCGTTCGTTATGGAAGGGTTACAGTTGTCTCAATGTACCGCCGTTATGGAAGGGGTGACAGTTGTCTCTATGTACCGCCGTTCGTAATAGAGGGGGTGACAGTTGTCTTTATGTACCGCCGTTCGTTATGGAAGGGGTGACAGTTGTCTCTATGTACCGCCGTTCGTTATGGAAGGGGTGACAGTTGTCTCTATGTGCCGCCGTTCGTCATGGAAGGGGTGACAGTTGTCTCTATGTACCGCCGTTCGTTATGGAAGGGGTGACAATTGTCTCTATGTACCGCCGTTCGTTATGGAAGGGGTGACAGTTGTCTCCATGGACCGCCGTTCGTTATGGAAGGGGTGACAGTTGTCTCTATGTGCCGCCGTTCGTTATGGAAGGGGTGACAGTTGTCTCCATGGACCGCCGTTCGTTATGGAAGGGGTGACAGTTGTCTCCATGGACCGCCGTTCGTTATGGAAGGGGTGACAGTTGTCTCTATGTACCGCCGTTCGTTATGGAAAGGGTGACAGTTGTCTCTATGTACCGCCGTTCGTTATGGAAGGGGTGACAGTTGTCTCTATGTGCCGCCGTTCGTTCTGGAAGGGGGTGACAGTCGTCTCTATGTGCCGCCGTTGGTTATGGAAGGGATGACAGCTGTCTCTATGTGCCGCCGTTCGTTATGGAAGGGATGACAGTTGTCTCTATGAACCGCCGTTTATTATGGGAGGGATGACAGTTGTCTCTATGTGCCCCCTTTCGTTATGGAAGGGGTGACAGTTGTCTCTATGTACCGCCGTTCGTTATGGAAGGGGTGACAGTTGTCTCTATGTACCGCCGTTACGGAAGGGGTGACAGTTGTCTCTATGTGCCGCCGTTCGTTATGGAAGGTGTGACAGTTGTCTCTATGTGCCGCCGTTCGTTATGGAAGGGGTGACAGTTGTCTCTATGTGCCGCCGTTCGTTATGGAAGGGGTGACAGTTGTCTCTATGTACCGCCGTTCGTTATGGAAGGGGTGACAGTTGTCTCTATGTGCCGCCGTTCGTTCTGGAAGGGATGACAGTTGTCTCTATGTGCCGCCGTTCGTTATGGAAGGGGGTGACAGTCGTCTCTATGTGCCGCCGTTGGTTATGGAAGGGATGACAGCTGTCTCTATGTGCCGCCGTTCGTTATGGAAGGGATGACAGTTGTCTCTATGAACCGCCGTTTATTATGGAAGGGATGACAGTTGTCTCTATGTGACCCCATTCGTTATGGAAGGGGTGACAGTTGTCTCTATGTACCGCCGTTCGTTATGGAAAGGGTGACAGTTGTCTCTATGTGCCGCCGTTCGTTATGGAAGGGGTGACAGTTGTCTCCATGGACCGCCGTTCGTTATGGAAGGGGAGACAGTTGTCTCTATGTACCGCCGTTCGTTATGGAAGGGGTGACACTTGTCTCTATGTACCGCCGTTATTGAAGGGGTGACAGTTGTCTCTATGTACCGCCGTTCGTAATAGAGGGGGTGACAGTTGTCTCTATGTACCGCCGTTCGTTATGGAAGGGGTGACAGTTGTCTCTATGTACCGCCGTTCGTTATGGAAGGGGTGACAGTTGTCTCTATGTACCGCCGTTCGTTATGGAAGGGGTGACAATTGTCTCGATGTACCGCCGTTCGTTATGGAAGGGGTGACAGTTGTCTCCATGGACCGCCGTTCGTTATGGAAGGGGTGACAGTTGTCTCTATGTGCCGCCGTTCGTTATGGAAGGGGTGACAGTTGTCTCTATGTGCCGCCGTTTGTTCTCGAAGGGGTGACCGTTGCCTCTATGTCCCGCCGTTCGTTATGGAAGGGGTGACAGTTGTCCCTATGTACCGCCGTTCGTTATGGAAGGGTTACAGTTGTCTCTATGTGCCGCCGTTCGTTATGGAAGGGGGTGACAGTTGTCTCTATGTCCCACCGTTCGTTATGAAAGGGGTGACAGTTGTCTCTATGTACCGCCGTTCGTTATGGAAGGGGTGACAGTTGTCACTAAAACAAATATTATTACCCCTCAAACATATTTCAGTTTTCCTACCCCTTGCAAATTATACACTAATTGTCACATATACGAGCTCACAGATAACGTGTATTAGATATATACACGACCTCACAGATATAATTTTCATTTTGGTATTCACGACATGTTGCTACTTTCACTAGATGTACAAAATACTGGTTTAAAATCCTTAATATGTCTCAAGAAGAGTGTTACGATATGTTAGTCGAGCTAGATGCAGTCAGTCGGAATATAAACATGGGTTTAACATATCAAGAATATATTATATTATTTTGGTTATGGTTTCGTTTGGAAACATCAGGGTGTTGGTGACACTGAATAGTTGTAAAATAAATTGATCAAAGATTAAAGTGTTAAAGATTGTCAAACACAACATGGTGAAGAGTTTGTTAACATCGGAGCCCTTCTTGTTAAGTATGCTATTAACAGAACATGGACGTATGCTTACTTTATAAAGGATTGGCGAACTGGAAATTATGTATGGTATAGAGAGGAGAGCAAACATCGAAAAGACGCTGCACTTTTATCCTTTTGCACATTATGTTACTAACATGTGATTAAAAATGAATTCACTGATATGCTCCATTCGTTCAAAATATTTCCCATTTCACAATGTTCAAACTAATGCTGATCCAAGGGAGAGTTTGATAACAATCCTGCAGTCCTCGGATGTAAGCGTGCTAATATTACAGGAAGCGTGCAAATTACAGGAAATATCCCATAAGTCTCCCATGTACACAATATTATATGTTCACAAGATGTAGGCCTACATACATCATATATATATGAAGTACGTAGGCCTACATCTTGAAGATAATAATTCAGAAGTTAAAACTTCATTCCTTAAGGAGTGAGCTAGTTGATGAACAGTAAACTACGTTTATAATGAACACGCTTATAACGAACTGACGGATATCTCATCTATATTGTTTTGTATGGCAGAATAACCTTTTTTATATTTAGTATGTTTAGATGGAATGTATCAAGGATATGTTTCTCTATTCATCGTGTGTACATTAAATCAGACACGTAACTCATCTTTCTCTTTTCAGATTGTAACTGTTTTCGCCCATATATAACAGATGTCCATAACTGTTACAGACTAATATCACATGAACACGCTTATAACGAACTGACGGAGATATCGAAATGTGTTATGATCCTGTTCATGTGCTGTACATTTGATGTATATATGCTTATAACGAACTACGGTTATAACGAACTAAAAATAGTGGTCCCTTTGAAAGCGTTATAACCGTAGTTTACTGTAATCGGATAACAAACCTGTGCATACTAAGAACTCGCACATGGCACTGTAGCTCACCTGGTTATGTAGCCCACAGTTTTGCAAGTGAACAAAGACAGACACTTCAGAGAAGCTGTTGTCAAATATTCCAATATTGTGTGTGTGTGTGTGTGTGTGTGTGTGTGTGTGTGTGTGTGTGTGTGTGTGTGTGTGTGTGTGTGTGTGTGTGTGTGTGTGTGTGTGTGTGTGTGTGTGTGTGTGCATCAGTAGAGGACATCATTAGTAACAAATATGAAACAGGTAACCAACTTTCCTCAATAGTTCTAAATCTGCAATAAGGAAATATAATCATTTCAACACACAATGGCTAACATAGTGATGATATGTAACCATGTCAAACCACATCACCTAGTTAATTGAGATGACACATCCCTCTGCTATGCAGATTACAGTTACTTATTTCAAACAGTGATCGTGGGTTCGAACCCCGGTTGGCCCCTATTGTGTTTCTAGGTTTGTCAGCACCACACCCGTGCTCGTTGGTTTCATCGAAGTGGTAAACGTCTGAGACCTGCACCAGTTCGGGTTTTCCTCCCACATTAAACTGACACACCGTGTCAAATGTATAACTGGCATACTGTTCAACTCACTCACGGTATTGGACAATCGGCTGTGTAGTGTATGACTATAACAGCATATGACAGTCTTCCTTAGAGCTTGATGTGATACATGCGAACAGCATCAGGACACCCGGAAATGAACATCGCAATAACCGGGTAGGCGTTTTACATCTTTAAATTACGTATGGTATGCTGAAAATACTCAGCATTCTAAATCTCAAGATTTTCAATAGTTTATTTACCTAAAAATGAAAATATCTCGAGTTAAAAACGTATCAGCCAAATTTCGGCCCACAAACAGATCTCTATAAATCGAATAGAACACCTTCTGGAAATTTACAAAGAGAAAGTAAAACCTTCTCTTTTATTTCGACAGATATTTCCTACCAGGACCTAATTATTTTCTGACGTAGAGGAGTGATATAAATTATAGATATGGCAAAATAATAACAATATACTGTTGTTATTGGGATTTCATTGCAATGACAATTCATCCGAATATTAAAGATGTCGTTGCAACTTTTACCTGAGAATCCCCAGTTGAGGCCAGTTTAATAAGTTAAACCTTAGTCAGTTGTATTCTTTTGACTGGAAAGTGATGGTAAAATAACTTAAGGTTGCTAAAATCAAAACGTATTCCAAATTATAATGGGTACAAAATCACTATATTTCAAATAGATTTCGTGAAACTTGGGGATAAAGAAATATTTCTCGTCTCTAGGATAACTGTTTACATTTTAAAAGGAGTATTCTTACGGCTCATATTTTGTCTAAAGCTTAAAAAAAAAAGTATTTAAAAACGTTCCAGGAATAATTGATTTAATTGCCATAAATCTATCTAATCTCTCGCGTCACAGTTATGAAAGAGTGAGTGAGTGAGTGAGTTGGATTTAACGCCGCTTTTAACAGTATTCCAGTTTATCATGGCGTGTGAGCTTAATGTGGGAAGAAACCCCGAAGTAATGCAGGTCTCAGACATTTACCACTTCGGTGAAACCCACGAGCAGGGTGCTGACTAACCTAGAAACATATTCGGGGATTCGAACCCAAAATCATAGGTTTCTGGCGTGCCCAAGGGGCGCAACTCGGCACGACGAATCCCGGCGCCTTAGACGACTGGGCCACCCGTGCCCCCTGTTACCAAAGAATTAATCGCATAACATCCATATTTTAACTGTGTTTGTTTTCATAAACAAGACATTATACACAAAAACAATGACTTCATGAGTTTTGTACATATATGTTATTGGATTGATCTTATCTATTTATTTATTCATTTATTTTATTCTGCACGGAATGCTAAAACTAAAATTAAATAATGACACCAAATATATACTTCTTAATATAATCTATGTTGAGATGGGGGCGGTCGGGTAGCCTAGTGGTTAAAGCATTCGTTCGTCACGCCGAAGACCCGGGTTCGATTCCCGACATGGGTACAATGTGTAAAGCCCATTTCTGGTGTCCCCCGCCGTGATATTGCTAAAAGCGGCGTAAAACCATACTCACTCACTATGTTGAGATGAAACATAATAAATGAAGATTGATCAGCTACATTTTGCGGATACATTGAACAATTTTTAGTGTCTTTATACATAATTATCTTGGAAAATATATAAAAAAAACTGAAATGTTAACACTTGTAAACAGTTGAAAATATCTAAGCATTTACAAATGTATCATCAGTTCACAACCATGGCGGTATTTTAAGTTAAGGAATAAATCTATAAATGTTATTGGAAATTTATATAATTTATTTACAGCTTGATATATTTTAATATGAATTATTTATTAAAGCAAAAATCTTTCAAATATCCAAAACGTAATGTGTGGGAGTAATACCGAAAATGTTTATAATTATATCAATATATAATATTTAGTAAAGGTGATCAACAATATCTAAAGACGTTTTCTTTGGTTGTTTGCAATATTCTACGTGTATAACGGCGGTCTGTAAATATTCGAGTCTGGACCAGACAGTCCAGTGATTCATATCATGAGCATCGATCCACGCACTTGGGATGCGATGACATGCATCAACGATGTCTGAGCATGACCACCCGATCCTGTGTAAAGATGTACGGCTTCATTCACAATAATCAATCACAAGAGAGTCATAAGCCTATATCCACCAGCATAATGTTTCATACACCTCAATATTAAACGTAAAAGCACATTGTGATCCTTAACATAACTTTAAATAAAAGCTACCGCGAAACCTCATGTGGCGTTTTGTAAAATCTTCCACTGTTTCCGGGTCACGAGAGTATACAAGGTCAAACGGATTTAAAAATATGCCAATAATACCGTCAAAGTCACATTAAAATGTCATATTAGTTGTGATTACTGATACTATGTGTTGATTTGTGTATAGTCTGCATGTGGCAGGCGAAATATTTCAAAATGTTCTGTTATTTTTTTGTAACGACAAATTATCAGTAGACCTCTCCTGTCTGGGACATAACATCCGGTGACCTTTGCACTTAATACAACTTTTGGTGTTGTAGGTGTTGTAGGGTGTTATCAAACTCACTCAGAAAGGATAAATACTGCCGTACAATATTTAGGGTTACATTTTGGAGGCGGGTAAATAAGTTTGGACCAGACAAACCAACGATTGACAAGCAGGAACATCCAGGAGACAAAACTAACACGGTAAGAAAGCCGTGTGGGTGGCTAGGTAATGGCTTCAATATACTCACCACTGCGCACGTCCGAGTTTCCACAGGTTTCATCCCTGGAAGCCAGAAAGTTGTCCACGGATGTCTTAAAGGTGTCGTAGTTGACCAGAACCTTACAGTAGTCAGTGGATTTGGTAGCATATCCACAAGCATACAACAAGACTACACAGAGACAAAGTCGGAACACCATGCTGTTGACAGGGTCGTTTCCTTTAGGGACTGAATGTCATCCGAGTGAATGTGTGCTTGATTGAGGAGTACTTTATCTTTATAGGCAGACTTAGCTGTCCGTCAAAATACTCTGCACATGTAATATGAATAAGAGTGACGTGATGGTAACTCTAGTGCTATGAACATGCTGCATTACATGCGTATTTGTACTTGTACATTGAACTGACAAACAATCCCAAGTCAAGTGAGTTTCCGCTGTAACTGAAGTAGTCATTAGCCCCTTCCTCTCCAGCGTTCTTCTCCTCATGACGCACGCACTTGTCTCCCCTCTGTCTACCACTTATCCAGCGCTTATCTACCCTCTGTCTATCCTCTTGCTACCACTTGGCCAGCACTTGTCTAACCTTTGTCTACTCTCTGTCTACCCTCTGCCTACCACTTGTCCAGCACTTGTCTACCCTCTGTCTACCCTCTGTCTACCACTTGTCCAGCACTTGTCTCCCCTCTGTCTACCACTTGTCCAGCGCTTCTCTACCCTCTGTCTACCACTTGTCCAGCACTTGTCTCCCCTCTTTCTACCACTTGTCCAGCACTTGTCTACCCTCTGTCTACCCTCTGTCTAACACTTGTCCAGCACTTCTCTCCCCTCTTTCTACCACTTGTCCAGCACTTGTCTACCCTCTGTCTACCACTTGTCCAGCACTTGTCTACCCTCTGTCTACCCTCTGTCTAACACTTGTCCAGCACTTCTCTCCTCTCTGTCTACCACTTGTCCAGCGCTTCTCTACCCTCTATCTACCACTTGTCCAGCACTTGTCTCCCCTCTGTTTACCACTTGTCAAGCACTTGTCTCCCCTCTGTCTACCACTTGTTCAGCACTTGTCTCCCCTCTGTCTACCACTTGTCCAGCACTTGTCTCCCCTCTGTCTACCACTTGTCCAGCACTTTTCTCCCCTCTGTCTACCACTTGGTTCAGCACTTGACTCCCCTCTGTCTACCACTTGTCCAGCGCTTGTCTCCCCTCTGTCTACCACTTGTCCAGCACTTGTCTCCTCTCTGTCTATCCTCTGTCTACCACTTATTCAGCACTTTTCTCCCCTCTGTCTACCACTTGTCCAGCACTTGTCTCCCCTCTGTCTACCACTTGTCCAGCACTTGTCTCCCCTCTATCTACCACTTGTCCAGCATTTGTCTCCTCTCTGTCTATCCTCTGTCTACCACTTGTCCAGCATTTGTCTCCCCTCTGTCTACTACTTGTCCAGCACTTGTCTACCCTCTGTCTACCACTTGTCCAGCACTTGTCTCCTCTCTGTCTATCCTCTGTCTACCACTTGTTCAGCACTTTTCTCCCCTCTGTCTACCACTTGTCAAGCACTTGTCTCCCCTCTGTCTACCACTTGTCCAGCACTTGTATCCCCTCTGTCTACCACTTGTCCAGCACTTGTCTCCTCTCTGTCTATCCTCTGTCTACCACTTGTTCAGCACTTTTCTCCCCTCTGTCTACCACTTGTCCAGCACTTGTCTCCCCTCTGTCTATTTCTTGTCCAGCACTTGTCTCCTCTCTGTCTACCACTTGTCCAGCACTTGTCTCCTCTCTGTCTATCCTCTGTCTACCACTTGTCCAGCATTTATCTCCCCTCTGTCTACTACTTGTCCAGCACTTGTCTCCCCTCTGTCTACTACTTGTCCAGCACTTGTCTCCCCTCTGTCTACCACTTGTCCAGCACTTGTCTCCTCTCTGTCTACCACTTGTCCAGCACTAGTCTCCCCTCTGACTACCGCTTTTTCAGCACTTGTCTCCCCTCTGTCTACCACTTGTCCAGCACTTGTCTACCCTCTTTCTACCACTTGTTCAGCACTTGTCTCCCCTCTGTCTACCACTTGTCCAGCGCTTGTCTCCCCTCTGTCTACCACTTGTCCAGCACTTGTCTCCTCTCTGTCTATCCTCTGTCTACCACTTGTTCAGCACTTTTCTCCCCTCTGTCTACCACTTGTCCAGCACTTGTCTCCCCAATGTCTACCACTTGTCCAGCACTTGTCTCCTCTCTGTCTACCACTTGTCCAGCACTTGTCTCCTCTCTGTCTATCCTCTGTCTACCACTTGTCCAGCATTTGTCTCCCCTCTGTCTACTACTTGTCCAGCACTTGTCTCCCCTCTGTCTACCACTTGTCCAGCACTTGTCTCCTCTCTGTCTATCCTCTGTCTACCACTTGTTCAGCACTTTTCTCCCCTCTGTCTACCACTTGTCCAGCACTTGTCTCCCCTCTGTCTACCACTTGTCCAGCACTTGTCTCCCCTCTGTCTACCACTTGTCCAGCGCTTCTCTCCCCTCTGTCCACCACTTGTCCAGCACTTGTCTCCCCTCTGTCTACCACTTGTCCAGCACTTGTCTCCTCTCTGTCTATCCTCTGTCTACCACTTGTTCAGCACTTTTCTCCCCTCTGTCTACCACTTGTCCAGCACTTGTCTCCCCTCTGTCTACCACTTGTCCAGCACTTGTCTCCCCTCTGTCTACCACTTGTCCAGCGCTTCTCTCCCCTCTGTCTACCACTTGCCCAGCACTTGTCTCCTCTCTGTCTACCACTTGTCCAGCACTTGTCTCTCCCCTGTCTACCACTTGTCCAGCACTTGTCTCCCCTCTGTCTACCGTTTGTCCAGCACTTGTCTCCTCTCTGTCTACCTCTTGTGCAGCACTTGTCTCCTCTCTGCCTATCCTCTGTCTACCACTTGTCCAGCATTTGTCTCCCCTCTGTCTACTACTTGTCCAGCACTTATCTCCCCTCTGTCTACTACTTGTCCAGCACTTGTCTCCCCTCTGTCTACCACTTGTCCAGCACTTGTCTCCTCTCTGTCTACCACTTGTCCAGCACTAGTCTCCCCTCTGACTACCGCTTTTTCAGCACTTGTCTCCCCTCTGTCTATTTCTTGTCCAGCACTTGTCTCCTCTCTGTCTACCACTTGTCCAGCACTTGTCTCCTCTCTGTCTATCCTCTGTCTACCACTTGTTCAGCACTTTTCTCCCCTCTGTCTACCACTTGTCCAGCACTTGTCTCCCCTCTGTCTATTTCTTGTCCAGCACTTGTCTCCTCTCTGTCTACCACTTGTCCAGCACTTGTCTCCTCTCTGTCTATCCTCTGTCTACCACTTGTCCAGCATTTATCTCCCCTCTGTCTACTACTTGTCCAGCACTTGTCTCCCCTCTGTCTACTACTTGTCCAGCACTTGTCTCCCCTCTGTCTACCACTTGTCCAGCACTTGTCTCCTCTCTGTCTACCACTTGTCCAGCACTAGTCTCCCCTCTGACTACCGCTTTTTCAGCACTTGTCTCCCCTCTGTCTACCACTTGTCCAGCACTTGTCTACCCTCTTTCTACCACTTGTTCAGCACTTGTCTCCCCTCTGTCTACCACTTGTCCAGCGCTTGTCTCCCCTCTGTCTACCACTTGTCCAGCACTTGTCTCCTCTCTGTCTATCCTCTGTCTACCACTTGTTCAGCACTTTTCTCCCCTCTGTCTACCACTTGTCCAGCACTTGTCTCCCCAATGTCTTCCACTTGTCCAGCACTTGTCTCCTCTCTGTCTACCACTTGTCCAGCACTTGTCTCCTCTCTGTCTATCCTCTGTCTACCACTTGTCCAGCATTTGTCTCCCCTCTGTCTACTACTTGTCCAGCACTTGTCTCCCCTCTGTCTACCACTTGTCCAGCACTTGTCTCCTCTCTGTCTATCCTCTGTCTACCACTTGTTCAGCACTTTTCTCCCCTCTGTCTACCACTTGTCCAGCACTTGTCTCCCCTCTGTCTACCACTTGTCCAGCACTTGTCTCCCCTCTGTCTACCACTTGTCCAGCGCTTCTCTCCCCTCTGTCCACCACTTGTCCAGCACTTGTCTCCCCTCTGTCTACCACTTGTCCAGCACTTGTCTCCTCTCTGTCTATCCTCTGTCTACCACTTGTTCAGCACTTTTCTCCCCTCTGTCTACCACTTGTCCAGCACTTGTCTCCCCTCTGTCTACCACTTGTCCAGCACTTGTCTCCCCTCTGTCTACCACTTGTCCAGCGCTTCTCTCCCCTCTGTCTACCACTTGCCCAGCACTTGTCTCCTCTCTGTCTACCACTTGTCCAGCACTTGTCTCTCCCCTGTCTACCACTTGTCCAGCACTTGTCTCCCCTCTGTCTACCACTTGTCCAGCACTTGTCTCCTCTCTGTCTACCTCTTGTGCAGCACTTGTCTCCTCTCTGCCTATCCTCTGTCTACCACTTGTCCAGCATTTGTCTCCCCTCTGTCTACTACTTGTCCAGCACTTATCTCCCCTCTGTCTACTACTTGTCCAGCACTTGTCTCCCCTCTGTCTACCACTTGTCCAGCACTTGTCTCCTCTCTGTCTACCACTTGTCCAGCACTAGTCTCCCCTCTGACTACCGCTTTTTCAGCACTTGTCTCCCCTCTGTCTACCCTCTGTCTAACACTTGTCCAGCACTTCTCTCCCCTCTTTCTACCACTTGTCCAGCACTTGTCTACCCTCTGTCTACCACTTGTCCAGCACTTGTCTACCCTCTGTCTACCCTCTGTCTAACACTTGTCCAGCACTTGTCTCCTCTCTGTCTACCACTTGTCCAACGCTTCTCTATCCTCTGTCTACCACTTGTCCAGCACTTGTCTCCCCTCTGTCTACCACTTGTTCAGCACTTGTCTCCCCTCTGTCTACCACTTGTTCAGCACTTGTCTCCCCTCTGTCTACCACTTGTCCAGCACTTGTCTCCCCTCGGTCTACCACTTGTCCAGCACTTTTCTCCCCTCTGTCTACCACTTGGTTCAGCACTTGACTCCCCTCTGTCTACCACTTGTCCAGCGCTTGTCTCCCCTCTGTCTACCACTTGTCCAGCACTTGTCTCCTCTCTGTCTATCCTCTGTCTACCACTTGTTCAGCACTTTTCTTACCTCTGTCTACCACTTGTCAAGCATTTGTCTCCCCTCTGTCTACCACTTGTCCAGCACTTGTCTCCCCTCTGTCTAACACTTGTCCAGCACTTGTCTCCTCTCTGTCTGTCCTCTGTCTACCACTTGTTCAGCACTTTTCTCCCCTCTGTCTACCACTTGTCCAGCACTTGTCTCCCCTCTGTCTACCACTTGTCCAGCACTTGTCTCCTCTCTGTCTACCACTTGTCCAGCACTTGTCTCCTCTCTGTCT